ACACACACACATACATACACGGGCAGGGTCGTCGCAATATGCGTTTTCGCAATTTGCGTATAGGCAAAAACGCATAACACAGAATCAGTACCAGGGCAGTCAGCTGCAAATAACAGTCGAACACACAGACAAACACAAAGTACGAATAATCAACAAATTAAGGAATTTTGAAAAACAACAAATGAGTCTATTAGGACTGATTGGGAAAGTCAGTTTCAAATTAAATGCAGTACGCAGCTGCTCAGCAACAGTGCGTTGAAAGCGCGAAAGCATAGGAAAGGAGAAGCTCATTTAAGATACACGAAAAAAACTGTGCTCAAGCAAGTCAAGACTCAGTTAGTGCGATAAATCGTTGTGTAAAATGTCTACCTGCACAGCTGATTTATCAGTCACTGACACCGATTTTGACGCTTCGACACCCTTAGCCCATATGACCGTAGTCGGTCCGCGTAGAATCGATCGATCTGCTTTATCGGATGCTTAAAATTGCATCTGCTACCCAAAATAATTTTAATCGACCAATATTTCAAAGACACAGTAGCAGAGAATGTGTAAGTCCATGTCAGTAAACGACAAACAGTTGCAGATCCAGAAGAACACTTTCTTTTTGTTGAATAAAGTCAGCTGACAGCAGTGATGCATGATTCTGGCGTATCGTTTGGAGAGGCGCTAACATAATTTATGCTTACAATTTGTTTTGAAAATATCATTAGAAAAACTTTACTATTAAATATTAATTCGGAAACCTCAAAAATGTTAAAAAAGCCCTCTACTTTTAGAGAATTTTGACTGCTCAAGAACAGTTCTAATCGAATTTAAAGCGTAGATACTTATTTTTAAAATTTCCACATTTTTTGATTTGTACCGGCAAATCACGGTGTATTTTTAAGGTCGGAAACTAAAACAGGATGTGTTCTTTCGTGCCTCTTTTATTTCATTTTAATACAGTTAAAGGCGTAAAGCTTTACTGTATTTCACCTTGTAGAGGTTTCCTGAAAACAACTGTGGTGATGCCATTTTCTCGATAGGCCGCCGAAGAAGTCAACGAATTTTGTCCGCCGTAAAATTCATCAAGCTGTGGACTTGCTCCCGAGAAAGAATAGTAGTCGCGTATTTGCGATACTTCATCAATCACCGATCCGATCACCACATCAATGCAGTCCATCGAGCGATCTTCTGGAACTCGATTTAGAAAATCTCTACAGGTGGAATGTTAGACAAATTACGCAGGATTTACTGACTCAGGCGCATACCTTTACCCTCCCATTCCTTCGACTTCAAGATCGTCGGTTCTAGATTTACTGCTGCTGAAGATTCCGTTACAGATGCTGTTTCATTAATTGTTACAAATGTTGATTTCGGAGAATTTGATTCAGGCTGTATTTGTGAAGTTTCTGATGCAGGTGTGTCTAATGATGCCAGTCCGGGGGTGAAAGAAGTAGTATTCTCGGAAGAAGCTGACATCTGGGTGATCGCAGTCGTTGGAAGAACTTCAGCCGCAGTAGCAAGATGCTTGATTTGAAGTGGCACGTGAGCTGGAACGGTACCACCTTCTAGTTTTAGAATCTTTTCCTCGACCGGAAAATCCACCTCTGATTCTGAAACGAAACATGCTAACAATACTTTTAAGCACTTCGTGCAAAATTTTTACGGGTAAGCTGCTAACTTGGAGATTTAAGAAGCTTTAAAGCTGAAATTCTATGGGAATGTTCTCCGTCCAAGTAGGTATTAATAGGCTCAAACCCAGCCACCGGGTAAGCATGGTACCCGCGTACAGGCCCGCTAAAATTTTTTCGGGTAAGTTGATAACTCAGGGATCTGAGAAGCCAGAAAGCTGGAATTTTAAGAGGATGTCCCTCGTCCAAGTAAGTCTCAACGAGCTCAATCCCAGACATCGGGTATGCGTGCTATTCACATGCGGCCCGCTAAAGTTTTTTTCCAGTAAGTTGCTAACTCAGGAGCCAGGGAAGCTAGAAAGCTGAATTTTTAAGGAGATGTTCCTGCCAGTTCCGACGGTCAGTCTTAATTTGTTTAGTTAGAAGCATTTGCCGAAAAAACCGATGCCGGTAGCGAAAAAACTGAGAGGAATTATGCAAAAAACGCATCTTCGCAATTACAGCATTCTGATTTTGAACTTCTCTCAATTTTTGCAGTAACACACATATTATATTGCTGCTATTATCTCATGTCAGAAAGTTTCCAATTTGCTTATGGAGGCATCTTTGAACAATCCATTAAGCACTATATCTTAGCCTGAAAATCTAAACAGTCAGGTCGACTCGCTACCCAGTATTAGCGAGCCCCAGTTTGTTCTCAACTTCTAAAATGAAACAAGCAACAAAAATATTTTTTAGGACCAAGCTGGTTCTGCAAGTACAAATCTGATATTTTATATTTGTAGCAATCCCCAAAACTGGTCAATTCGCGCACACGAATTCGCTCTTGCATACCTTTGTTAATCCCGCCAAACGGATCAATCTGAACTTCAAAAGGATCTTGCAGCTGCCGCACTGAACGAGGCTTTGCTGATTCGCTGGCCTGACGGCGCTTGCGGACTGCTGGTGGCCCATCCTCGGAAGCTATTGAAATACCGTTCTGCAAAATCTCGAAGAAAATTTCGCGAAATTTTATTTAAATATGTGAATTTTATTCCAAAAATGTACCTATAGCAAAAGAGTTTTTTGGCATAAAGTACCTGATCACATATGCAAATTTTAGTTCTGGAAACTTTGGGCTGATAAAGATCATGATAACCAATTGGAGTTCGCGCGTTCTGGAAATCCTGACTCTTTCTTGCCAGCACTCGGCCACCACCAATTGGAAAGAGAAAATAGTAGCATTTGTTCAAAGGGAAGTCTGTGATCGTATCTGCGGGTAGCACCTTTCGGCGAAATGCTATCGTCTGCAAACACAACAACAAAGGCGTTAGCTTTTAGCACTCAAAATGCAACACAAAATTTATTTTTGATAAACCGGAATGTCACCTATTAGCCGGACTTAACAAACACTACATTATTCGCTCCTCGATTTAACCCAAATTTCCGATCCAAATATTACATCGCTGTATGGGAGTGGCAGTGGAGTAGGAAGTGCCGAGAGACGGTGGAGTACAAACTCCAGTAGCTCTATGCATGTCGAGAATGCACTGTCTCGCGATATGTCCGGCTAAGCTTGAATGGTACGAACCAGTATTATCCTGAGCAGCGCTTAATAATGTAGCAAAGGTCAAGCAGCTGTGCTCGCAAATAAAGGCAACGCACATTCCCTCGCAAAAAAGGGAAAGGTGCGTTACACAGTGCATAATGCGGAATAAAGTCAGTGAATAGAAATAACCAGGAAAACACGCAATAGGTTTTGCAGTGCGATTATGCGTTTCTGCGCTAAATTTGAAGCAGTTAGGTACTTAGCAATATGAGTGCTTGCTGCTTTACAGTTTAAATGTTCACTCATACTGAATACGTTTTAGTTCTTCCTTGCAAGGAGAAGGAAAAATGCGTCGGTTTGGATGGCAGTGTTGCATGGCGTGGCAGTGTGACATCCTTCCCTCCAGCTTGCATGATTGCTGTAAATTTTGCAAGAAGGGGATGACTAACTTCCTGTTTCTCAAAGAATCTGTGTATGACAGGCGAGATTTTGTCGAGCAATGTAGATAACAACTGCTACCTGAACATCGTCATCTGCTTTACCACTGATTTCATATATATCCTGGCGGTCAGCTGGATCAATCGCTGGAAGCTGGCGTCCGTAAGCAAATCGATCCGTAACGTAAGCTTTTCCCTCAAACACCCAGCCAGTGTATATGTCTGAATTCGCCATTTGGCCGTCCCGAGAAAAGCCAATGCCGGTCCATCGGCCCAGCTCTCTTGAAGAAATCTCAAACTTCACATCTTTTCGTGTCATACTGTATTCCCACTTTGCTATGTAGTCACAAGCAGCCCCATCACATCCAGCCGGGTAACGAAACTCCGTTTCGCATGAGCTTGTTGCTGAAAAGTTGCTTTTTATACTTTATCTAGTGGCGAGAGAACAGAAGAAAAAGAAGAGAGTAAATTTTTTTGATCCTAAACAAAATATTCAATGTATTTTAATTGTTAGGGCCTATTAGGCACACTTTCAATGTGTTTGCTTAGGCTTCGCTTTCAGTGTGTTTGCTTCATTGTTTGAGACGCTTTTGTTAGCAGTTTAACTTAATCGAAACGTTAATTAAAAAGTAGCGAAAGTTGACATTATGTTTCTTAGCTGGACAAAAGAAATAGTGTGAAATTTCCATTTTCCTTAGAAAGTGCTGTAAATTCGAGTGATTCGCTGAAGTGCGCTAAATAAACAATCAGATTTTATCGGCCCAGCTGTAAGGAATCGAATGAAGCCTACACTGTAGAGATTGTGTGGCGGTACAGCTCTGGATGCAGATATTGTTCTCGGATACGTGTGGCGTAGTAATATGCTTCGACATTTCACCGTTCTAAAATGCTATATTTCGAGATGGTGTCTTTTCATCGAATGTTTGGAAAAGAAAGCCCCTCCTCAGCCCATACACATCTCCTTCCTTTGGCAGCTACTCTTTTTTATACGATTTCGAAGCAAGCAGTATGGATTGGCGCGTTGTGCACGCAACTGGATAGATGAAATCTGCTAGCTATTTTGATTGCTCGCGCTGCTCTGCGAAACCACTCAGATGCATCGATGGCACTTTGTTGCTAGTCTGCCCTAGCAGCATCACAAAAAGTCGTGATTTTTTGTAAAAACCTCTGGAAAAATTTATTGCAAAGGGAGGAAATCGGTCACTCATCATCACGCTTAACCATCGCAGTCCGCAAATTTCACAAAGGTAGCGATAATGCCTGTAGTATTCAAGTGTAAAATTCTTCATAGGTTATGCTGCATCACAATTTTAGTTTTTAGCTTTTGCTTCAAGGTACATCGTACTTTTTGACTGCGGTCGAAAGCGCCCTGTATTTCCGGTTTCAAAGTTGTACTCTCTTTATGCAGACTGATACAGAAACGATTCGAGGCAGCAGTAGGCTCTCTTTCAGAAGCGAATAATGCGTACTAAAAAAATACATAACTCACCGGTTCTAACCGTCCTCCAGAAACTGGGAACAAAAATTTGTAACAGTCAGTTTCCGAGAAATGATGATCGGCTTTCCGATCTCCTGTATCGCGTTTTCGAGTAAACTGCGCTCTCAACACTCCGTTCACATGTGTTCCGATTACGGTAGGCGTGTAAACATTTTGTTCGCTATCTTCTCGCGGCACACCGTAACCGGTACTGTACATATCATGCAGCGATAATTCGCCATTTCGACTTTTGACGACAATCATGTCAGCTTCCACCTGAAGACGAGCTGTTCACACGAAATGTAGGAAATATAGCAAAAAGAAGAATGGGGAGGGGAAGAGCTAAATGTAAGAATTTTGTGATTCGGGTCTTCATCACATCGTTTTACAAAAATATTTGTGACTAACCATAGTACCACTGGGCGAGAAGCCAACTCCGGTCCACCAGTTCGAAGGTGCTCGAGTTTCAATGGAAAATTCTATTTCATCGCTGTCGTCCAAATAGTTCCATGATATACGATAGTCGCAGTCGCGACACCCGGGAGGCCAACGCCAGTCACCGTAGCATACATCGCCCACTACTTCTGATCCATCCTCGTCTAAATTATCTATTCTGAATATTTAGCATCAGAATGGAAAGCAAAATTAACAAGATGTATTACGCAACATTTCTCATAACTCTGATTCAATAGCGAAATAGCTGAATGCATTGAGTATGTCGCTTCATATGACGACATTTCACAATTTGTATCCTGATCATTCCTGGCCAACCGTGGAGTAGTGCTGGAAAGGCTAGAAAAGCAATTTTGGATAAAAAAGTATACGTGCAGGCAAAAAAAATTCAATTATGAAAGTGGCAGGCACCGGCTTTGTTCCTGAGACAGAAAGACATTTGATCTAAACATATCGGTTCCGATTTCCTCCAGCACATCCATCATTCCTAGTCCGGCTAGAAAACACACACAATAGATGACGGCCTGTTAAGTTGCAGTCGCTCTCTAGATAAACAACCCAGGCTGGAACGCACCAGGCGAGCCGGTGCGACCATGCATTTTTGCATCAAACTTTGAGGT